CCGCTCATTGTCGCTAAGGGGACATCCACGATGGAAACATAGTAACCCTGGACTGTACCTTCTGTGTAACGAACAACGTTAGCCTAAGGGGACGTCCGCGATGGTATTGTCGTCTTTTGAGGATTGTCTTGGGGACTCGGTGGCTGAAGGAGGATTTGGCCTCATGAGAGACAAGGAAGATGGACCCTCTCGATGACTATATTTCTTAGGAGCCATAATTCTGAAAAAGAAGAATTTACGTTAGAACCCTAGAGTCAAAACCTAATGCCTGATGGATCGTGAGGCGTTGAGGATTCATTATGGTGTTGAATGTTCAAAATAACCCCGAGCGTCGAACATTCAAACATGGCGACAATGGTTCAAAACAGTTCAGAAACCCAACAAAAACCCATAATCCTAGGTCCCGCAAATTTGCTAAAAATCTCGAGAAAACTACTCAGAGCAGTGCGAAAAATGTCAAAAATAAGTTGTCTAGTCCTTATCCTCCTAAACCTGACCATTTTCGTGCAAAAGCAATCTTAAACCAGTATTAGAGAGAACCAGAAATGGAAGAGTTACAACAAAGCAAACACGAACAAGAGGAGGTGTAAGAAAACTTACCAGTAGATAGAAAGTGAGTGGAATCTAGAGACGTGGTGAAGAAATCCTCACGAAGCACTACAGAGAGAAGAGATTGAAGGCGTTGAGAACATTTTGACAGAGTGTCGGCGGTTTCTTCTAAATGTAATGTTTGATAGATAATCGCTAACTTATCTATACGTGTGTGTGTGTGTCTATATATATCAGCCTTAACTAATGGGATAGTCTTGGTAGCATAACATGTAAAAAAAAATGTAATATGACATTTATTTAACGTAATATATATATTAAAAAGACGTAATGTCAAGAAATTTAACTATCCAAACTATTATTACACTATAATTTAGTTATTGAACATAATATGGATGTTAAAAAGATATAATAATAGTGAGAGATAATTAATTATATTTATGTATTATATTAGTTAGAGATAATTAATTATATTCTTATCTTATATTTTCAATATTGATGTTATGTTAAATAAATATTATGATACGTCTTTTTTTAATGGATTAAACCTTCAAACCCCACTTAAATTTCACCCCGTCCAAGCCTCCAGTACTACTAGACCAAGAACTTTTAGGTACCATGTTACGTCTTCAATTTTAAAATATAAAATATATTAGGTCTTCACTTTTAAAATATAAAATATGTTACGTAACTTTTAAAATATAAAATATGTTACGTCTTCACTGTTAAAATATAAAATATCTTACGTTTTTACTTTTATATTATATATGTAGGTAAAATCTCTAATTTGGTACTGAATTAAAGCGGCATATCTATATTTCTTTTAAAAACAAATATATTTTCTCTTCGGTATATGTATATTTCTTAAAAAAATATGTATATAGGTGTTTAGACAAATTATATGTGTCTCCTTATATTATACATATTTTAAAAGAAAATATACATGTGCTGAAAATAAAATATAAATATTTTAAAAAAAAATATATATGTGTCGTTCTAATCTAGTACTGGATTAAAGATAATGTCTATATATATATATATATATATATATATATATATATTACACAATGAAGAAAATGTCTTATCGGTGTTACACAATGAAGAAAATGTCTTATCGGTGTGATCGTATAATATAAAAGAACCAGAGGTTCAGTCATAAATGTGATTTTATTTTCTTATTACACGACAAAGGCCTTTCGAAAGAGAACTCGTGCGTGGGGATTGAAGACTTACGACAAATTTGCAAATAAAGCCAATGCGCCGAGAACCCCACGTGACTGTTTTCTAACTCTTGAAAGGCTAGTAAGCTTACCTTGGTAGGTAGGTGGCGTGGTGGTGGACCCCAGGTACCCAATTCCCTTATCCTCTTTTTTGTTTTTTTTTGTTTTTGTTTTTGTCTTTGAAGAAACATTTCCTTTGCACTTGAGCCTGTTTGATACATATATGTTATAGCCATTTTATAAAACGCACTTCTCAGAAAAAGGGAAATAACAATAAATTAATGTTATCTGTTTTATTTTTCACTTGAGCTGATTATTTTAGGTTAAATCTAAGAAATTTTGGATTTCAAAATTAGTAGGTGAATATGTGGTTATTCATACCAATGCGTGGCATATGTTTCTAGGTTTTCCTTTCACAATTATTATTATTTGTTTTTGCTCATCACCTTTTCTAACTTAACATAATCTGTATGTTTTCCATTATTTTCTTTTTCATTGAAAAGTTTATAAAAAATGCCGAAATTTAAATAGCAATAACATCACTAAGATCTTATTTATTTTACCGATTCGAGTTTTATTACAGTAAAAAGCTCTAAAAAACAGTAACATGTAACTTTTTTGTTACAATAAAAAGTTCTCACATAAATCACATCTTAACTCGAATTAAAAACTCGAATCAACGAACTAAACGTGTCCTAAATTATCCACTCGAGCTAATGCCATTTACCAGCAAAGGAATCTATGTGGGTCCCTCATTGCATATAAGTAGATCCCATGTCACGAGTAACACACTGAGGTTTTGTTTATTTTACCGATTCGAATTTTCAGTTTTAAGTTTCTACAGTAAAAAGCTCTCAGAAAATGTTACATTTAACTTTTTCTGCTACAGTGAAAAACTCTCAGAAAATGTCACATCTCAGCTCGAATTAAAAACTCGAATCTACGAAGTGAACGAGGCCCGAATCATTAGTGTCCTAACAGTACTAAAATATCATTCCACTGCATGGTATTTTTCTTCAATACGAAGAATTTTCCAAGAAAAAAATACATAATTTATATATATATATATATATATATTGTGGAAAAAGTTATATTCTTAATTTCTTATTCCACAACATCCGTCACGAGTAACTCAAATGTGTATGCAAAATGGTCTCATTCCAATCAATTTAAACAGATTATATATTTAGACATGAGGAGATCATGAGTTGAGGAGAAGTTTATCCCGTTTCAAAGTTTAAAAATGGTGATATGGATAACATCTTTAATATACATATATAGTTTTTTACATTTTTATTTTTTTTTTTTTTTTTTTTTTGTTGGGAAAGACAACCAAAGTGCTTTCCGTATCAATGCCAATAACCAGTTAATTTAGGCATCAATATAAGGTTTTTTAATGACATGGATGTGTGTTTAAGCCATGTATATGTTGTTAGGTAGTGGGTACAATAAAGAGGAAAAAAGAAAAAAGCACAGAGAAAATAGATTTTGACTTTCTTTTTATCGTTGGAGTAAATAAATCCAAACGTGTCAAATCGTATTTGAATCAGGAATTTCAACAAAGTCCCACAATGTAGGCCATCTTCTGATGGGACAATAGCTAAGAGGCATGCGAGTATGCCACGTTGAAACGTAGGCGCATTAAGTGTCAAAGAAATGCTTCGAATATCAAAGGAATAGAATTTTAGCTAAAAAAATGGCAAATGCTCAAGATCTATCCATTTGTCATTGTCACTATTAGCCATCGTTGGTGTGGTCTCTAGCATCACTTTCACTTTTTTATTTTCTAGTTTTCAATTCTAACTTTGCAAACTCAACTTTTAGCATCCCAAATAAACAATTCTTTCTTCATTAAAGTAATAAATTTCTCATATTAATGGTAATCCGAACATATACTCTAAAGAACCTGACTTGAATGCTCAATTTATTTCTCAATCAAATAAATCATTGATTGGCATATTAACTGTCTCTCTCTTTTATCATCTTTTTCTGCTTTTCTTTCTCTCTCTTTAAAATGAAATTTTCTCCCATGTGTAAGTTAAGAGTCCGTTGGTTTATGGGTACAAATTACTGATTTTGATTCTACATTCAATTTTTGTTAGAGAATCTATTGGCATGCTCAATTTATTTCTCAATCAAATAAATCATTGATTGGCATATTAACTGTCTCTCTCTTTTATCATCTTTTTCTGCTTTTCTTTCTCTCTCTTTAAAATGAAATTTTCTCCCATGTGTAAGTTAAGAGTCCGTTGGTTTATGGGTACAAATTACTGATTTTGATTCTACATTCAATTTTTGTTAGAGAATCTATTGGCGGGGATCTTTTTAATTTAACTTTTGGGGGAATTTTTTAAATTTAATTTTTTTTTTTTTTTTTTTTTTGGGTGAGAAAGAACATGGAATTAAAACCGTGAATTTGAACTTATATACCAAACCGGACCTAAGAGTTTGTAAATCAACACTTATTAAGTCGTAACATTTTTTTTTCTTTTAACAATAATTCAAAAAAGTATATAGATACACCCCGTTAAATAGTAAATTAAATGCTCTACACTGGTGTTGCATAGCTAGTAAAAAAATGCATTAGTACTATAACGAGTGACTTTCTCCTTTTGTAAGAATGTGACAACTATAATTTCTTATTTAGCAATGGGTAACACAAGTGATATTCTCTACGATTCTCTGTCTGTTTTTTTAATAAAGGCATAATAAGTGGCGTTTTCTCAGCATAAAGACATAAAAGACATAATAAGTAGAACAGAGAGGGGATCAGTTCACGTTCTCGTAAAAAAATTCCCTCAAAAAGTCTTTTAAGCCAAATGCACGAACTCACTGTCATAGAGAACTAATGCAGATGCAGAGAATTAAACTCTAACGTATCACTTCACTTATCAGTTGTTATCACTTGGAATTATTAGTTGATATCTCCATACTTTAAATACAATCACTAACTTAATGAAGGAACAAAAAAGAAGAACCAAGCATTTAATTCAGAAACTGTGCTGCACAAATCTGACTTGTTATATCATTCGAGTTTTTAATTTTAATTTTACTACAATTAAAAGTTTTAATAAAAAGCTACATCTAATATTTTTTATTACAGTTAAAAACTCCCATATAAAGTTAAATCTCAACCCAAATTGAAAACTCGAATCAACGAACTGAACCAGGCCGAAATTTCACTCATCATTATACCAAAAATTTCTCCAGACATTTGCAGACCAAAAATTTAAAGATCTTTCTCAACCAACAGTCCAAAATTGACAAGCTGTCAAAGGGGAAGTAAAATATTCAACCACGTACATATATATACGAAGGTTTTTACAGACGACTTTATAACAATTAACAGAACACTTTATCCTGTGCATTAAATTTATATATAAGCCATGGTGATAAGAAATTTTGGCTGTCAGAAAGGAGGAAAAATAAAAAGATTTCTCAATGAAATGGTTAAGTGAGAATCCGGATTTTTCTACAGACTCCAATTATCTGAGAACAATGCCAATAATTCAGACTGCATAAATCTCTATGACCTGCCTCTCAAATTTCGATCAATTTGAAACGTCATCTAGAACTATCAATGTCTTAAAATTTTAGGAGAAAAGTTTTCCACAATTTTTCCCGACTCTAAAACAGTAACAGTACCTCTCCCGCAAGAATGGTGAACGAATCTCTTATTTCTAATGCACAAGTGGGTCAACCTTGGTCACATCGGAGAGTTATTTGTGTTCTGCCACCAGATTTAAAATGGAAGTCCTGTGAAACAAGTACCACCGAGGAAGCTGACCTATCGCCGTCCATGTCCCCAATGACGATTGTGGTTCCCAGGTTTCATGTGTGGATTTCTATGGCCGAGTCCCTGCTTAGGGAGATCGTGTAACTCCATGACTTGTATTGTCCGTTGCCTCTTGGCTGTCGAGCAGGGAGGGGTTTACCGTGTTGATGAGATATATTCAGTTTGTATGTGACTAAATATATATTTTAGTAGAAAAAGAAACTTACCATTCTCAGCTTGTTGATACCGCTCCTGGAGTTTCCTTTTCGTGGCTTCGAGTTTCACTTGAACAGCAACTTCATCTGAAGACTTCAATTTCTAATATACCAAGAAAAACGATTAGAACAAACTCAACAAAAACATTCAAAACAAGTAATTCTTACTTCTACTTACATCTTGTGGAACAGAGAGCGGCCTTCTTTGAAGAGCAGGCCTGTCTGGTTTTTGTTGGGACTTCATCGCACTATTGAGCTTCTGCTCAGTACTTATTCTCGGAGGTCTCCCAGGCCCAAAATCAGTGTTTGTGGGTCTAGTTGTTTTCATAACTCCTTCCTGTTTCTTTTGTTGTTGAACCTTGTGTTCCTTGGTTAGCACATTTGCCTCAGTTGAAAGCTTTTGTTTCTGCTTTGGGACATTTTGATTCTCTATGGAGGGTTTTCTTCCATTATCACGGTTCTTGGTGAATGCCCCACTGTTTCGAGGATCTGAAACAACATTCCCCAGCTTTAGTTATGAATCTAGGTAGTGGGGAATTCAAATGAAGAACCGAACAGAAAAATCTATCTAATAGAAGCATAAGACGTGGTCAAAGTGAACTCACTTCCATCGTCATCCATGCCATCGAAGAACTACACACGTCGCAATAACAGACACACAAGAGAACAAAATCAAGTTAGTCTACAATGAACACTCAAAGCATTTGTAACCCCCATTGAAAAAGTAAAAGAAGAAGAGACATTACCCGTGAGAGCTCCATTGAAGTTGGCTCAGTAGCGAAGAAAGCTCCTTCATCCAAAGGAGGAGACGGAAGCCCTTCTTCTTCATCAAGAACAGATGGGTTTATGGAATCCGGAGTGCCCTCTGTGCCTAAAATTGAATGAAACAAAGTCAGCATTTATAAGTAGGTGACTTGAGAAATCGAAAGCAAAGATAATGCATCTCTTATAGGCTTAAGAGAAAACGTACTATTCATGGTTGCAATAGCTGCGGTGGTATTGACCCATTCGTCAACCATGTCTTTCCACCCACTGCAATAATTAAAATTGAGTTAATACAATCTTCTTCGCAATATAAGCTGAGAAAAACAGTATTTGAATGCTGCATTAAAAAACCAAAATAGCCTGAGGAAGCACAACTAGCATGAACGAAATGCGCATTTAAGTTCCTGGTCTACATCCTTACATAAATGAGCTTTTTTCAAAGCACTCGGATTTTCGGCATGTGTTACATAACAATGACATACGGTTGACAGATAGGGTAAAATAAAAATGATAGTGTTCGGGAAAGTCTTAGGGAAATACGTATGGCGATTTCGCATACAAAATAAAGACCTGCCTATTAAATTGTAGCCAAACAAAAAGAGGAAAACATTGTAAATACCACAGACCATGTAAACACACAAGAATCAGAATATGGAAAAAAGCTATCACAATATAGTAAGAGCTACAATTTAGCACTCTAGTTGTAAGCCAAAGGGCACAAATGCATACTCAATAAGAGTCCTTGCAAGATGACGAATTTCCTTTGATCCGTGCTTCCGAAAACGATTCACCGCCTTTCCAATCTCAGTTTCCTGTCAAAGAAGAACTCCCTCAGGTCAAATTCAAGCCGAAAATTTTACAAAACAAGAGCTATCATTAACCATCAAAACTCTACAAGTTTTGAGAAAACTCTGATTTAATCTCAGTAGTAGTAGTCTAAATTTAATTAAAAAGTGAGATTCAATCCAACCTTCAAAGTATCCACAGTCAAAGCCATGAACTGAAGCCTCCTCAGCTCTCCGAACAATACCGACTCCGACTGTCAAAACAACAATCAGAGCACAAATCTTATAAACCAAACTAAAATCCCATCCCAGAAACTATGCACAAGAACAAAAAAAGCTCACAAATTATGCATTGTTAAAGTGATAATATACATGAACATATAACATGAACATATAACACATATATATATTGTATATGTATACCTCTTCTTCACGATTCTGAAGAATCTCTTTGATCCTTAAGACCTCACCACGAATCTGAGACTCTTCCTCAATCTCATCAGTCAATGCCTCAGCATCTAAGTAGCTGAAATTACTAACATGATTCATCTCTTCTTCTGCTCGATCATCGTCTCTACTACTATTAGCCTTGCTCTCTTTACTCGCTCCAGCCTCAAACTCACCACTTCTATCTCTATCCCCAGAATCTCCATCACCATCATCATTACCATCACAATCATCATCATCCCCACCATTATCGTCATCATCCCACGGCACAGAAAGCTCCACCCGCTCACACCCACAACACTTCCTCAATCGACAGGAGAAGAGCTTTTCCGCAATTCGATCTCTCCTCAATCTGAACTCCTTGGGACGATCAGAAGCCGCCACCATGATCGCATGGTCGATTATCTCGAAAATACTAGAATTCGCTGTCCGAAAGTAACTCCTCCAGTAATCTAGTGAGCCCGATTTCTTAGCCATGATTGAATTCCAAAAAAAAAAAAAAAAAGATTTTGGTCAATGCCCAGAAATCAGAATCCGGAATTCATCAGATTCTGATTGAAAGAAAAAAGAAAAAAAAAAAAACCCCCGATTTCTTATGCGATTTTCTCACGTAAGTTTGAGAGAGACCCAGAAATGGGGAAATCGAATTCGGGGGAAATTCGGTGGGGTATTATTATTAGATAACAATCGGTAATCAGAGCCTGATATTGTTGATTTGTACCCGTTCTGAACTGGAAAGCGTTGAAACAAAAAGAATGCGATTGCTTTTGTTTACGAAATGGATTACGTGTAATGAGATTTAGGATGTGTGAACGGAAAGAAAACACAAAAAAAAAAAAAAGATCAGAATTAAATCCGATGAAAAAACAGAGGTGGGTTTGTCTCAAATTTTGATGATGATCGGTTATTAACCCAAACCAGACCAAACTTCCCCTGAATTTTCTGCAAAAATAAAACTCACTATTTAGAGGATAAAACAAAATAAATGGAAAATATGAGGGATTGCTTTCTCTCTCTATATTTCTCTCTCCTCTAATACCAGGTGCTACAAAAATGCCACACAGAACTTTTTTTGTTTGGGGGAAAACCAGTCTCTTTCGTTGATGAGATTTAAAAAAAAAAAAAATTGTTTTCGTACAGTTTTGGGAGCAAAATGGAGTCAAGGGTTTTTCTTTTTTCTCTCTTTTTTTTTTTTTTGCAGCTGGAACTTTTCTTTTTTCCTTATTTTCTTCTCTTTCTTTTCTTCTTTGGCTATGTAGCGTAGCCCTGTTTCGACTTGATTGGTAAACGATGTGAGAGACTAGAGAGAGAGAGAGAGAGAGAGAGAGAGAGAGAGAGAGAGAGTAGAGAGAGAGAGAGAGAGAGGGAGGAAAGGGCCTTTCCGAGGCGTTTCTTTCCTTTTCTGTTTCTCAATTTCCAATATAAAATTTTTATTTTTAAGCTTTTTATTTTTATTTTTTTTTTGGAATTCCATCATTGAGAGAAAAATAAAATATCTATTATACGAGTAGTTATCATATTTTCAAAATGCAATATAATATTAGTGCTTAAAACTAATTTTTACGTAGTCTATGTTAGAATTCATTTGAAATTAGTTTTGACTGGTTTGGTTGGGAAATTACGTAATAAGTGAAAGTGTTTGCTAAATAGGATAGGTTAAGATAATGGCCGGCTTTTTTGGACCGAGTAAATTTTTCTTCTTTTTCTTTTTTTTTTTCCTTTTCTTTTTCTTTCTTTGGTTTTTTCTTTTTTTTTTTTTTCATTTTACTCGTGCAAAAAGTCGGACGCTGTTTTGTGTTCGGAAGGACTTTAGGTAAAACGAGGAGAGAGTACGTACTACTGAGTCGTTATTAACAACTCTCAAAAACTCGGCGCCTCGTAAGATCACTACCGTCACATGCCTGTGGTCAAAGCCGCTGATTGGTCGATCATTTTTGTGCCACGTAGGCGAAATAAGTTGCTCTACGGACTCTGAGTTTGTATTTTTCCTCAATCTAACAATAAGAGTCAAAATTCTTTTCTATTGGCTTCTTCTTTTCCTCGCGCTGTTCCTACACTTTTTTTTTTAACTTTTTTATATATTTTTTAAAATATATTATTACTCACTTTATTCTTATGAGAATACTTTTTTTAATATTTTTATCTCTTTTTTATTTTTTAATGGTTAAAATAATTATTTTTAAATGGTTAAAATAATTATTTTTAAATGTGTCTTTACTTAACTTTTTTGTCAACCACAAATTTTTACATATTTTTTTTTTAAATAAATTTAAAATTCTTTAAATGGTTATATAACTGCATTCTCATTATTCAATAAATAATAAATTATGAATGCCTCAAACACAACAATAAATGGGGATCACATTACAAAACTACATTAATTATATACCACTCAAATACTGACATCTGACTACCATTTCCCACCATATTAGTTTTAGGTTTTTTTTTCCTTTCATCCGTCTAAACTTTTTTTTCTTTAATGAAACAACCCTCTTAACTACATTAATGTCAACATATACATGAAAAACAACTCGTTTTTCAACAGATGTCCTCAAACGTTAAGACATATCGCCATTTCTTTTCTATAAAATGCTATTAAATTTTCTACATAATCTCGCACGCATATGCATAAGGTTTAAACTAGTATTTAATAAAAGAAGTAAGGAAGATAGACATATAGTATATAATTATCAAAATATGATGACCGTATGATGTTAAAAACTATATTTTATCTATATGTTATTTTTTATATCCTGTGGAAGTTAAATGGTAAAATTGTGTACTATTTCTAGGTTTTTTATATCCTTTTAAAGAAGGGGTAAATTCATAACTGCCCCTTTATAAGAACCAAATTTCTAATATTGCCTTCCATAATCAAAACCGCCCCTTTTGGAAGAGATTGGTAGATGTAGGAAAGAAATTTAGTTGATTTTTTTTTATTTTTATAAAATAAATTACCAATCATGTCTGGTCATCAAAGCTGGCCACTGAAGATTAATCTAGTAGTCGGTTTAGCCACGTTACCGGACACAACAGGTCGATCGATAGGATATCTTATAAAATAACTGATCAATAGGTGTAGACACATACCCTTTAAAAAATTACGTTTCGGTCAACCGATTACAACATCCAGTCGACAGGTGTAGATCCAAAAAACTAGTTTTCTCAGTTTATTCAATACAAGAAACTTGTACAAACTCTCAGTTTTAATTCAAATAACTCAATATAAAAGTTACCTAATTATAACAGTCATATAATAGTTTTTTCATATTAAATAAAACTAAAAATAATAATTCAACCAATTTATCCTGAATGAATTCAACAATTAGTTCAATCCATAAATTACTTATGAATTAATCACCAATTTCACACCTGACTTTAACTTTTAGTGGAAATAACATAAGTTACCAATATGTAGGAAATACGTTGTATCGTTACAGAAAAGTATATGAGCTAACAAAACGACCCGATGGACATATATGGATCAAGCTTCTATAATCATGACAAAACTTCTTCACTGATAAGTTCATCACATGATTATAAACTTTAATGCTAGTCCACTAAAAGTCTAGAGCTACACTCTCGATCTATACAGTATATTTACAAAGCTTCAATTAGCTCACATCCATGACTTATTATATTAGTGTGTCATCCACATAAAATATCCATAATCAACTTGACTTCAAGCTCTTACTTACCTTCCCGATTATATTTATCTTATGTTCAATTATCACTCCATCGGAAAGCCACCATTCGCACCAATACAAATAGTGAACATTAGATAACACGACGTAGTTTAATGGCCGAGTGCTCATATTTTCCTATCCATAGATAATGTCATAAGATGATATCATTAACTCTTTATAACAGCTATGAATTCTCTATTTATGAATAACAAATCTACGCATGCAAGAGTCATATCTCCAATGTACCAGCATGCTAACATTTACATGATGTCAGAATGTCACATTTTGGTACATCAAAAGATACAAGTTGAGCATAACGATTTATTATTCGTCTTAGATTAAGAAGATAGCATATATTTTGTCAAAAGTAAATTGTTTTATTCAAACAAAATTATTAAATAAAACAATTCAACTTTGGTCATATCCAATAAAGATTTTACCGCTAGAACTTCATACATGTCTCTACAAATGGAGTCCCCCTCTGATGACTAACACAAGTCATCTCCATTAGGAAGTAGACAACATAACAATCTTAATATCAATAAAGCGTCGAACTTTATTCCCTTATTTGTGGAGCATATATTTAGACTATCATCTTTAGATTCATATATTATGCATGTTCTTTATATTGCATGCATAATCTAAAAACTTAGAACGACAGTCTCAGACTTTCAGTTTGTTTATCATATATTCAACAAATATAAATATAAAAAGAATAATACATAGATATATGAAATAAATAAACTTTGTTAGTATTAAAATGTCATAGAAGCATTGTTACATTTATTTTTAAGGGCATAAATTCCAATATGTCGATCACCTAAGAGGAATTTGGTAGATTATTTTCTATAACATGTAAGATTATTTTTTATTTTCAACAAACAAAATCTACCAGATTCTTCGATCAACGGCACCAAAGAGGAATCTAGTAGATTATTCTATATAATCCACATTCTACGATCTGACGCTGGTAGAAGAGAATTTGATATATGGTAAGGTGGAATGTGATAGATAGTAAAGAAGAACCTGGTAAATTCTGAAATGGAATTTGATGGATGCAAAAATGGAATCTGATTGATTATTTATTGTAATCTACAAGTTTATTTTTCCAAAAGCACTCAAATAATTCAAAATTTTCATATTCAAATCTTCAATAAAAAATTACATAAAAAATCCAAATATAAGCAGAATTGTAATCTTAGCATTTTTCCCATAATGCATTTCAAATTTCACAATCCTGCAGAAAATTTTAAAAAATCATCAAATACGTTCTGATATATCGATCAATTTAACAGACCAAATATGTGAGCATAGTCCTATACAACACTATAACATGGCATGGAGGAAAAGACACAAGTAATTATTATGATTCCACAATCTGCAAGATCAAAATTAAAAATTAATATCTATGATGTTCTACTAACAAAAAAAAAAAAAGTTACCTGTAATGACTAAGAGGCATGAGAAAGTTGCATGTGATTGAAATAAGCTGCCGATTTACAATAGAAAATTATTAAAAAGAGAACTTGTCTTCATTCAAATCCAAATCAAGCTTAAAAAGGAAAGAATAGATATAGTAAATATTGAAGTTCAAATCTCAGAAATAACAGAATATTAAAAACTAGTCCTTGATTGAGGAACGACCATCGTGGATCGAGTACGATGAGGAACCATCATCATCAGAGAGAAGCAAGAATGCCTTCACTGTTGCCAACAAGAGGAGTTAAAAGAGTGTTAGGAATGACGCCTTTAAAGTATGAGATGTAAATGAAATATTTTATTATAATTTAATAAAGTAAATTTTTATTATTTTATGTCCATGTATTATTATATAATTTATGAATATTAATGAAAATTTTACGATTATTTATATTGTTGGTAATCGAATCGAATTCGGATGCGGAAGCATGGTGGATGACGGATCAAGTATAACAAAAATTTTCATAAAACTTTTAAAATACTCTATAGATTATATTAATTTATGCACGAATAAATTAATCACATTAATTATATATCAAGAACTCAATCAGAAAAAATACCTGGAGGCCGACTCGAATGATAACATGAGTTTTTTGACCACGAACGATCCTTGCTCCAAAGCCTTGTGTTTAGAAAACCAAAGTCTTCCACGTCAATTCCTTGAATCTACGTAAACGTGTGTGTGGGCACACTCGAGACTAAAACGGGTTAAATCAAACACTTGAATTTTTCACAAACACCAACGCATGCATGATGTGGAATTTTTTTGGGAGAAAAATTTTCCTTCTCTCTATTATGGGAATTTCGGCCAGCCCCCTTAAGTTAGGTTAAAAAAATTGTCACGCGTAATTTTTCATCATATCTTATTTATAGAGTAGAAGTCCAACTTCTAAAAGGAATCAAATCTCTCTCTCCTATTTGAATTTTGCACAAAAATTCTCCTCTACCTTATCCTTGTGTGGCCGGCCATCCTAGGATTTCCTATCCATGTGTGTGGCGCTAATTGTAGATAGGGAAGGAAGAGAAAATCATCATTTATCCTGTAGTCCAATTTTAATTCAAATTCAAATTTGAATTTAAGTCAAACTTAAATTAATTTGAATTCTAAATTGAACAACTTATCAAATAAGTT